TGGTCCATACACAGTGCTGAACACGAATGACGTCGTGGTTCGGATCCGTGAGTCTTCGAACTCTTACGACAGGTTAGCTTATTACTATGGCCATAGTACATAATGTAAATAATTGTAAAGAGTATAAGACCATGGTCCATTTTGTTTTTAAATGTGTATTTGATTTGTATTTGATAGCATTTGATTTGTTTTATGTATTGCATTTATTGTTCATGTTGTTTATTATTGTAATGTAATGCTTATTAATGCATTTATGCCACAGTTGTAAGTTTAGCTTCCTGTCCAGGGATTGTACTGCCCGGGACGTGCAGTCCTTGGGAAGGGGGCAGTGTTACGAATTTGGTATTTAAAAAGCTAATGTTAGTTCAATTATAAATTAAATGGTTTTATTTCTCGCGCAGTGCAGCGCGTGACGAATATTAAAAGAAAGCTAAGCCGGAAAAATTAAAAATACAAGAGCGCGTGCGTTAAATAAATAAATATCTCTTTTTGATTTCGAGAAAGTGCTGGAAAATTCTAGCCCGTGATTTTAAAATCTTATAAAAGGAGGAAAACATCTCAGTTTGTAGTAATTGCTTAGTTTGTTGTTGTTTAGAAAACTGCTCTTGTTGATTGTAGCGAATTCGCGGATTAGCGTTCTTTAGCTGTTTTGAATGACGTTCTATTGGACATTTGAGTAGTTAAAAGATAACTACTGTGAGATATTGTAATACTGCATGATAATTTGAGAAAATTTAAGCATTTTTGTTGTGATAATAATAAATTTTGTTCATTTTTTCATCGGACTTGTGCATTCATTTCATAACGAACCCGTACGCACGCAACAATATTCATCGACGTTTGAAATAGCTCTCTTTACCCGACTTTACCCCCATAGAATTATTGAATTTACTCAGAAATAGGGTAGTTTTAGAATGCATCATTACTCTTCTTAATCCAATTTACTAATATCTAAAAACTTCACTCGATCCATCAAATTTAAACGAAACTGTTTTATTTAATTTAAATCTGCCAAAATTTAAGATTAAATTTAAAACAAAATGTTACTACTTGGCACTTATTCTTTAACACCAACTCAAAGAACTTTGAAGTATAATAATGAGGTTTCAAATTCGCGGCAATGCGTAGAATCATCCCACGCTAATTCGAAAAACATCAGCTAAGAAACGCAACGTTGTTCTTGCTGCTTATGTCATAAAGAGTTTTATATCTCTAGGAGTTTTATAAACATATGATGATAAATATATATGTGATAAAGAGTTTAATATCTTTATATCTCTTATGTGATAAAGAGTTTATTTACACTGCATATATGATTAAGTATTTTTAGTCCAAAGGGGCTTTATCCCTGAGAGACTCTTGTTTTCGTTATTGTCTCAAATTGTTGCCACCAAATGTTATCGCCCTCTATTATATTTAAAGAAATTAAATAATGAAGAATCTGCATAAATGTATGTATTTTTCTCGCATTGTGATAAAACAACAGCATCTAGAGCCATCCAATTTTATATGACGTAATACTACTACGAATATGGGCATCTGGAAGCCCAAATTTAAAATTTGGAATTTGTTTTATTATCAACTTTATATTTTGTAAAACGTTAACGAATTTTTAATTAACAGACTCAAGGATTTCAAAGCAAGCAATGGCAACGTTATACCCCCCCCCCCAAAAAAAAAAAAAAAAAAAAAAATCTCCAGCGAGCGAGATTGTGTATCAGAAGTTCTAAAGATATGCTCAATTTAAAATTATTTCGCGATATTGCTCTTGAACTGAATTTTATGGTTTAAAGGCAAAGAACATGATATTTAATAAATAAAGGTAACACAAAAAATGTTAAAAAAAAAAAAAAAAAAAAAAAAAAAAAAAAAAAAAAAAAAAAAAAAAAAAAAAAAAACGCTTCTTTGGACGTAACAAAGTCGTGAGAGGTTACAGAAGGAGTAAAAGGACCTTTTAAAACTTGGTGCCCTAGACTCAGTCGTTATGGTCCTAAGCAGTGAGGCTCTTAAATCGTCCTACGTATTCTAGTCAGGTAGTAAAATGTTCGAGTGCCGTGCTACTATCAAACTATGCACACTGCCAGACAAAATTGTATACAGAGCTCTCAATTAATTAGTGAAGCTAATTATAAAAGTGAAAGTAATCAAATGAATTCCAGATATAAACGTGACTGAGTGGTGGTGTGATTATAAGAATAGTGGAAACTCCAAAACTATCAAAGATCGTTTATTAAACTATACCAATAGAACAAAAGAAAACATTTTATCCCTATTTTGGCATAATAAAAAAAGCATAATTATGTAGTACACTGCAATAAGTACGTAATTTTACCTTTTTATGTTTACATTGGTAAAATTATAAAGATAGATCTATTAGGATTCACATTGCACAGTACTAAAAACTGCACAATAGAGAAGAAATGCATTCTAATGGATGTTATAGAAGATCTTGAATACAGCTTTGTAGTACAGCAGTGATAATAATAATTTCCAGTATGAATTTAGCTTTCCCAGCTATGCTAGATAATCGGGATATCACTTTAAAAAAGTGACTACCCAATGTCATTTTTAAAAAGCATTCATTCTACTCAACTATAATTTCTGAAAGCATTCTGCAAGCTAGAAAACGCCTTTCAATGGTGACTAAAAATTCATTTTTAATTCCTGATTGTACAATCTTAATTACTAATTATATTACTAAGGGTTAGAACAAGTATAATGATCAGTTTAATTTTTATCCAATTGGTCAGACACTTTATGTATTTGAATGAAGGTCTTTTGCGATTCGTTTCTCCACGTAGAAGCAGACAGAACATTAATCTGACATTTCTTTTCTATTCAAAAAGTTAACGAGAAAGTCAAAAAGTGCAAAAAACTATTGTTATTTCAATTAACTATAAGGAGACGCTAGCATACTTTCTGTAGAAGAAATGCATGCACTGATATCAACCAGGGCAAGAACATTTCGTATTGCGATGCAAATAGAATTAAAGATCTTTCAACCTTTTGATGCGATATCGTATTCTGAGTTCAACTATTTGATGCGCATATATTCATGCCGTGCGTCTGAATCCATGCTATGCGTTCTGTTAGTAATTTGAGAGTTTTGTTGTCTTGTTTTATTCGAATTTCTACTTACGTCAGCAGCAGCAGTTATTTCTTATGCTTTTTTACTTTGTGATTAAACTGTTTAATAACTACCTACATTTCATTTTTCAAACTTCCTGATTATTACTAAAACTCCACTGCTCAAGCGAAATTCACGACCTCCTCCGTAACACGCATATATAGCTTTGCAGTTAAACAGAGATTAGTAGCTCAACAATATACACTGGTGAAATAAATTAAAAGAATTTGCATATTTTATCGAATTGCATGAAAAGAACTGAACTGAATGAAAAACCACTGCTTCTAGATAAAAATACAAATTTTGTACAGCAAATACGTAAGCGTACACGTATGTGTAGACGGAGCCAGCAGAAAAACTGGCTTTATAAGCTCGTGAAGGGCAAGAGGAATTGCGTTCGTTCCACACCTTGGCGAATTTCTTAGCGTTATCTTGCAGCAATCTGGTTAAATTGACATCGGAACAGTAAAAGTGAGTAACCACCAACGTTTAGATGATGGAATGAAGTGGCAAATTGTGGGGAGGCTAGACGCAGGCCGATTGCAAGTCCAGATAAGCAGATAGTTTAATTTAAAGCCCAGCGTCGTGTCTAACCTATAGAAATAGTTCCAGGATACTGGATCCATCGAGAGAAAGCCTGGACAAGGTCGTCTAAGAGCCACGACGGCCAGAGAAGATCGCTATTCGTTCATTTTAGCGAGGCGTAACAGAAGGGCTACAGCTTCTCAGCTCTCTCGGGACCTGTATGCAGCCACGGGAACCCGTGTAACAAGGGTGCGTGTTTACAAAAGACTGAATGAGAGAGGATTGTTTGCCAGAAGACTGGCTGTTTGCGTAGCGCTCACGTCTTAGGACAGGAGAGTCCGATTAGCATGGTGCAGGCAACATAGTGATTGGAGTACATACCAATAGGCGACCGTTCTGTTCACCGACGAGACCCGTTTTATCCTAAACGCCGATTCTCGCCGTACTTTCATATGGAGAGAGCCAGGGACCCGCTACCTACTCTCCAATGTCCGCGAAATGAACAATTATAGCGGTGGCGGTGTAATGGTCTGGGCAGGCATCATGTTGGATGGCCGCACACCTCTCCACGTCTCTGACAGAGGCTCTGTGACTGGTATGAGGTATAGGGATGAGGTCGTGGAGCCCTATGTTCGCCTTTTCCTGGATGTAGTGGGCCCCGAGTTCATCTTACAGGACGAAAACGTGAGGCCCCATAGAGCTCTTCTGGTCGACGAATTTCTCGAGAGTGAGGATATTCTCTGGATGGATTGGCCAGCCAGGTCGCTAGACCTCAACACTATACAGCATGGTTGGGACGCTCTGGATAGGACAATTGCAACTCGCAAACCCCCTCTAAGAACCATCCAGGAACTGAAAACAGCGTTGCTGAATGATTGGGACCAATTGCCACAGGCCTTGATAAACTGTTTTATTTCTAGTATGACATCACGCTGCGAGGCCTGTATAGCTGTAAGAGGGGACCATACCCCCTATTAACCCATTTCTTTTGTGTCTTCTGCAACCTCTGTTTCAGACTCCCATGAGTGTTACACACGAACATGTGTGTCGATTATAACTGTTGAATGTTTATTTTGTTTGTAATATATCAACCTATGTTCCTACCAAATTTTATTAAAATCTGTCCAGTAGTTCTGGAGATCGTAGATCAAATATGAAAATTCTCTTAATTTATTTCACCAATGTATAATAGGCAAATTCATATCCTTAGAGCTAAGCAAACGTTGAGCTACAATTTTTAAGGAAATACAGTAAGATCTTCATTAATGAAAAGGATTTAATTTAATTTTAAGGATTCACAGAGGAATTTTTTGGAAAAAGAGATGATCGATGCTATTGCGAAAACTACCTTTGCTATAATCGCAGCAGACACATGATCTGGCGTTGTTTCCTCTACACTCGGAACTGTGCTGGATTGCTGAGTGTTATTCGTTGAGGAAGAGGTCGATTTGTTGACCGAGTAGACCATGGCAGCAGGAGGCAGAGTGGGTACTGATACCTTGATAGTCCTCACATCTGGTGGACACTGATCGAGAAGTGAAGAGGAAGAGGCACGGATGTCCCTCTGAGGACGGGTGAGATGACGTTTGACTTTCGCCTGAAAATCCGCAGGTAACTGAAAAATTAAAACAGATATTAGCGGAGCTAGGTTTACCAACAGAACATAAATACCCATACATAATCGATCACATGAATGAGATCAATTTTATCTAATCGAAATGAATCAGTTGCATGGGATTTTTGTTGTGTACAGTAAAGCAAGGCAACCATATGCCCTTAGCAAAATTTCTTGATATAAAAGCTCCTTATTTGCTGTAATTTATCCTAAATAATTTACCATTTGATAAAGTTTAAACAAATTAAAGAAAGAAACGCATCATACAAATTTTTTCACATTAATGCCAAAACTTATTTCCAAGGAATAAAATGATTTTAAGCAACCTTTTCGAGCTGTTCGCGCATTTGGTTTCCTGGAGAAATAGATGCAGATTGTCTCAAAATAATCTTTTACATTCTTCTCTCCTAACAGCAGCAGACTTTAAATTACGCCGCAGCCCGCGTCCGGTACTTCTTAGTTTTTGGTGACATATTCTAATTCTAGTCGGAGTGCACCGGAGGCCTAGATAAGAAGGCTCCGGCACTTTTCTTATGTAACTGAATAATTATTTCAGTAGATCTAGAACATTTCATCTTTAGCAATAAAATTATATAAAAAATCGCTTATTAAATTTTAATTTACCTCTTTACATTTTATTTAATTTTAATGATTTAATGACTTTAAGCTTTAATTATTTTAATAAATAATAATGAATTAATTATGATAGTTAAATAATAAATATAAGCTAAATACTAATTAATGTATATTAATTATTAATATCAATTAAATAATTATATTTAATTTGATACTCATTCACAATTCAATTTTTAAATTATTAATGATTTTAATAGTCATTTTATTTATTTATTTAAACTTGTTGCTTTTTCTTGACGGTCTTCCACAGGGCTCCGGCACTTGAACTTTTAGAAATTAAGCCCTGAATAGCAGAAATACTAACAACAAAAATATTAACTTTGTTCGTGTCACACCTTTTAAAATGCATATGTTCAAAATGACTGCCATTGTTAGCCACATATATCGCTGTAAAGCCTCACCGATAGACGAGTGGCTAAGACCACTTAATACTGGAAGTTCGACTCGGTGTCAGTCACAGGTGAATGATCTTGGCTGGATGATTGGTTTTCGTGGTTTTCTCCATGTGTAACTTGAATATCAGCCAGTTTCCCTCCGAAAGTCCTTCATGAAGGCATCGCTTCACTTAAGTAGCAGAAGTATGTTCGATATAGGAAGGGACGTGCACGTGTTTTCAGTGGCTTTATGTCATGTAGACTGTGGTGACACTGTGTGACACTGTGATTTTAATTTGTTTGTTGCGGAATCAATTCTTTCTCATATTACACTCATCATTTCGTCAGTTCCTTTCCCCTCAGCTTGTCAAATAATTTCGCAGATTTTCACACATGATTGTGACTGAGAGTCATATTCAATCTTCTGTCGTCCTTGCGTCTCGCACGCATTCTTAACTTCCGACAATACTTTATTCAGTTTCTTTACTTGAGCCGCCCAGTCGGTATAGTGGTCAGGGAAGCTGACTGCCATGCTGAAGGGCCTGGGTTCGAATCCCGGAGAAGGCATTGTTGTAACTGTCCATTCCTTCATAGGAAAGGCGATGGTGGCCTACTTATTAGGTGCCTCCATAACAAAGAGACCACCACATCCGGCCTTGTAATAGATTAATGAACTGGGTTACATTTGTAATTGTTCACAATCTGCCATTGGGGAAAAAAAAAAATTCTTTGCTTGAAAGAGATTACCTCTACTTTTTAGTGTACACTGGCGCCTGTCTCTTCGCGGGTTATCAGAAATTAAATACGGCAAAATGTTTACATGCTCTCATAACACATGTATAACATAGTCATTGTAGCTTGAAATGCTAGATGTCTAATAGGGTCATCTTTAATAGTTTTTTTCTGTTACTGATATTCAAAAAGGCTTAAAAAAGTTTTTGAGGACATTCTATCATATTGTTACTTTATTGAAATATGTGTTGCAAGTCTCATGCCTGAGCGATAAGTGAAATAAATGTGCCATTATATCTCGAGTGGCCAGTTCTTTTGATTATTAAATAAGTGGCCAAGTCACGTGGCGTTAATTTACGATGGAATAATATTACAACAATTATTTTATTTTTTTTTTTTGGGGGTAAAACCATTTAGTTTCATTCATTAGTTTAGTTTCATTTTTTTTCGTAAAATCATTCATTTTTAACAACTAGTTTTAAATGCAAAATTTTATGTCCAATTTTTGGACAATTAATTCTTAAATTTAGAGGCATAGTGTAATTACTTATTTTATAATTGTTTGAGATCTTAAACTAAAATCTACATGCCAAAGTCTAAGGTTTGTTTTAATTAATTAACGCAGCTATTTTAGTACTTTGCCTTACCATCGCTTTTCTTTCCTCAACTCCCACTAGGATGCAAATTGATTAGAGTACAGAATCGCAAAGTTCTTAAGTTTCAGAAAGAAAGCCTTTAGCAGCTATCGTTGACCAATTACACTGTTACAGCTTCCTAATATACTGAACTGATTTATTGACTTAGCTGACTGTATTTGCTTTGTGAATGTTTGGAGTATAACATATTTAGGCCTTTGTCACAAGATTTAATGCTTTGGTTTGACGGGATATTTGTTCTACTTTCTCTGCAAATAGCGGTTATAAAATTTCTTTTTAGTTACAGTTTGTGTAACCGCTGATATGTTAATAAACACCTTTATTTTAAACATTTTCTTTAACATTTTAACATATTCATAAACATAAAATGATTTAAAATGGATTCAAAAGAGATTTTTTTCGTGGCGTCTCTACGTACGTATGTATGTACCTTGCATAAATCAAAACTGAGAAGCCTCAAAACACTGAAATTTTGTATACAGGACTGCTATAACATGTAGTCGTGCATCTCCCTTTTTGGTTGCAATCGGCCGCACCATACGTATATAAATATATTTATATATTTCAATGAAAATATTCCTTTTGACCGCTATCGAATGCAATTTAACGATGTTTTTGCGTGACATCTGTACGTAAGGCCAGAATAAAGGACTTTTTCCCGCAAAAAAATGATAAAAATGATTTAAAATGGATTCTGAATATATTTTTTCGTGGCATCTGTACGTACGTACGTTTGTATGTATCTCGCATAAATCAAAAACGAGTAGCCTCAGAACGTTTAAATTTTGTATACAGGACTGCTATAACATGTAGTTGTGCACCTCCTTTTTTGGTTGCAGTCAGCCGCACCAAAAGTATATAACCCACTCTGTTACTCGGCACATGAGTTCAGATTTTTTTTATTGTTATATGTTGGTAAATTGTGCATTTTTTATATTGAATCATGCTGTTCTTATCCATCCGGTAAGGTTTTTATTCCTTTAGTTAGTCTGCATGCAATAGTTGTAGAATTATTAACAATTTAAAAGCTGTTTAAGTGCGATTGAGCCTATTTTTTTTACCACAGCAGGCATATTCGTTTACATTTGAAACTTAGCAGAATAATGATTAAGTTTCTGCACCTTCAGTGTCCTTTTGCTGATTGGGACCAAAAGTAAACTTTCAGTTTTGTGCACCGAAAACTCTGCCTTCTTCCCGCTGGCCGATTACTTTATTTTTGCTTAGAAACTCTAATTTTAATTGTAAAATCTTTTATAATTGTTTTAACTGTATTTGGTGTTTTATATTTTTCTATATTTTTCAATTTTTAATAAAGATATTTTGAGATTTAATATTTTTTTTGCCTTGCCGCGAAGTGAAAACTGAATTAATTGAATGAGAAATATATCTAATGAAATTCGAGGAAATAAGCTTAAATTAAAGGCAGCAAAAAATGCGCATAATTTAGTATTTTGTACAAGGACGTCATGTGGTATCCACATCAGATTTTTAATATTCATAAAATAAAATACTTAACAGGGGGAATACCCCTCAGATAGAACTCTGTATCAGATGCTTTAAATAAAGACTTACCGAATTAAATTTGTGAGCAACGAAGCTGGATGGTTTGCACTGTAGCAGACGAACAGCTATGTTACAGTCATTTCGATATTGTTCCTGTAAACAACATTTCTTTCATTACAAGTATTATAATGTTATATTGCATGTCTTATTACTCAAAATAACATTTTACATATACCATTTTCTTGATTCAATGAGAAGCTTGAGGATATTATCCTTTACTCTGTTATAATAACGGTTACGATATCAATTTCTATAGCTAATATTTACAATAATACTATTTCATCGATATATGTTTAGCTGAGTTAAAATTGAAAGTAAATGAGACAAGATAATTTAAATTTTCATTTCCCTTTTTATTTCAGGAATAAATTCGCTGTTCTGTGAGGCTTCACCAGACATTACCACATAATTATTCTTTTCTAGAACAAACGAAATTAATGGAGCTTTCATAAAAAGTAGTTTTAGTTAAACTTGTCATTTGCAGGAACCTTCTATAAACATGATGCTTGTTTGGAATTTCAATGATATTAAACTTCTCCTCGAGATATTTTCACGCAGAACTTTTTTCTTTTAAATTAAAATATTATGAACTACGCATATTATCTTTTGCGTGTTCAGTTAAGTTTATGATAAATGCTTGCTGTTATTTAAAGAATTGTCTAATGTTTGCTTAAACAATATATTTTAGTGCAACATCTCAACCCTTTATTCATTAACTTTGAATTTTTTAAGTCAAACTTTGGCTTAGCTTTAAAATATCATTAATTTGGTTGAATTTTAAATTAATGCAATTTCTAAAATTTCAGCTAATTTTAAGTATACCCAATTATAAAAACCCTAGGTTTTAATTGTTCACTAATGGATCAATTAAATACTGTTTAATTAATCTCACTGACAAATTCTTTATTACCCAGGAATTAAAATTCTTGCAGGGTCAAAATTATGACTTCAGTGTACTAAGCTGTTCATATTCTGATGCTGTCACAAAACTCTAACGTGCATGTATATATAACTAGCAAGAGTGATATTATGAGATGTTCTCCAACGCCAAATTACAATTGTATTTTTAATATACCTCGTACACGAACTTAGTACATTTCACTCTTTCCTCCGATAAAGTTAATAATTAAATTTGCGTTTCTAATCCTTTGTTTTTTGTCTCCAATACGATCTACGATACGATAAGCATAAAACTGATTTAAGAAGACTACGATACGATACGCATATAATTGATTTAGGAAATTCCATCTAAAACAAATAATTAGTAAACAACCGTAAATTTCCGGCAAGATTTAAATGTCTGAAATAATATTCTCTCAGATTATAAAAATTTTCAAAATATATTCAATGGATAGATGAAATTTGTAAGTTAAATGATGAAATCTTGTAAATTTAATTTTAATATTATTTAACATACAATTAATGGTATCTGTTATTTAGAGCAAAGAATGGAACCGATAGAGAAAAATTCTTACGTTTTCTTCTTCAAGTTCTGCAATCGTCAGTCTGGCTTCCACGAGACGAGAAGTTAAATCTGATACATCTCTCGTCAAATCCGACTTTTCGTTTTCAAATTTTTCTGCCTGCATGCATTTGTCAAAACATGTTTTAATAGGAATGGAATTATATTGGTAGATAAATACTTATTTAAGAAATTTTATTATATTAGAGCATATTATGTAGCTATTGAAATACATGCAAAATAACTAAAATGTAATATAAAAACTTATTAGAAGTATGTATTGTTTACAAATAATTATATTTAAATCGAAACAAAAATTTGCTAAATTTAAAGGATAAAGGATTAATATCGTAGTTCAAAAATAAAGAAAATTAACTGGTTTTACTCCAGAAATTATGCAATTGAAACGTACTTTTAGCTACTTTGTATCGAGTTTTAACGAAAGTTTCCCGCCACCGCAAATATCGTCTGCGCAAACAGTTCGCGTTGGCGTGTTTAATCATATTTTGTCAAACGATTTCTTGACATTTGAAAGAAAGAGATTTGCTTTAAAACGCTGCCTTGTGAAATGTGTAATAGAGCTATATTGCTATCAGGTTAGAACCATCATTTACCAGTTCTCTTGCAAAAAAATCAGCTATAGAATGTCACCAAATCACGTGTACAGCTTTAGGTAGTAATGTTGTGTCATATGACAGTGTGAAGGTTTTTTTTTCCTTTGAGAACATACAGACTCCCCGTGCACCACATATGTACAACACGGGGCTTACAGAAGTAAGTTAACTAGAACATTAAAGGTTACATGTATAAATAAACATTAAAAATTACATGCATAAATAAAGCGAACAAAAGCAGAGAACAGCAGTCTGGACTTCACGAAAACAGATAAGTTCACTGGCCAAGTCACTCCGAACATTTTCAAATCGTTCTGTAAGCATAATCTAGGGCCATCAAATGTAGGGCACGAGAAAATCAAATGTTCCACATCCTGAGGAACTCTTTTTGAACATTCACATAAATTGTTTGATCGTAGATTAAAACGAAACAGATAACTTGCAAATTTACCGTGACCAGATACAAACTGAGATACTTTAAATTTAACGAGAGGAAAGGCTCGGAATTCAGTCTATGGTAAATAGAAGGAAGGAACTTTTTGGTGACTTCAGCATTACAAGATGAAATGTATTCCTCATTCCACATAGCTAAAAGTTTTTTATAATGAAAGGACTTCCAATAACTCTTTGGAATGCTAATGTTGATATCAAAGGGTAAATTTAAGGCATCTTTAGCTAAGAAATCAGCTCTTTCATTTCCGTAGAAACCATGATGAGCACGCACATAAGCAAAGCAGATATCAATACCTCTAATTCTAAGTGAACTAACAGTTACTAGGGTTTCGATAACTAATTTATCGCAGCTGGTAATACTGTTCAAAAGTTGAGAGAGAGAAAGAGAATCAGAACAAATAAGGTACTTTGAGGATGTTGTCCCATGATTCTGAATCCATTTGACGGCAAGATAAATGCACAGAAATTCTGCTTGAAAAACTGTACATTCATTCCGTATACGGTGTCTAAGAAAACAAATCTCGGAATGGCCTTCAAAAAGAACAAATGCAAGGCCAACCTTGTTGCTCATCTTGCTGCCATCTGTAAAGAAAACCACATGAAAACTTATTTCAGCAGTCTCTTTATAATCGGAGAAATTTATGGGTTCTAAAGAAGCGGGCTGAGGAAGATCAGTGAAGGGGACCATTCCATTAATACAGTCTTTCGAAGCATGAGTTGCCAATGACTCAAAAATATTATTCTTATATGCAATTTCAAAATCAATAGGCGGAACTCCTGCAAGAACAAAAGTAGCCTCATAGCTTAAGGTTCTATAACCACTAATAATACGAAGAAGAATTCTCCGTTGAATCTTTGTTAAATTTCTTTTGTTAACCTTCTTGGCAAGAACATGTCCCCAAGTACGACAGCCGTATGAAATGAAAGGTACAATACACTGCTTCTACATGAGTTTCTTAACATCGTAGCTTACTCCAAAAGTATTTTTGGCAATTCGGTGAAAGCCATTAATAATTTTTTCACATTTAGCAGAAAGGAATTCAATGTGCTTTTTCCATGTTAATTTTTGGTCAAGAATGACACCAAGATATTTAACATTTTCTACAAATTCCAACGGAGAATTATCGAGCATCAAAGAAGCAATATTTTGTTCATCAAACGTACTGGGAACAAGCATAGCTTTACTTTTTGAAGGATTGAAAGTGAGTTTATGACAAATCGCCCAACTGGAGACAAAATCTAGAACTTCTTGTGCTCTTAAAAGAATGTTATTCAAAATCCTTCCTTGGAAAATTAATAGTAAGTCGTCTGCAAACGCAATTTTTAAACAACCGTCGAGATGACTTAAAAGATCATTTATGATTATGTTCCAAAGAGTAGGTCCGGATACAGAGCCTTGAGGACAGCCTTTTTCTAGAGAATAAACCTTAGCTTCGTTCCCAAGCTGAAGCTCAGCAGTCCTCTCGTTCAAGAAGCTTTTAAGAAGGTTATAGATATTATGTGGTATACCAGCATCTTTTAAAATTTTTAAGATAGATGGCCACCAAGCATTATCAAAAGCTCCTTTGAAATTCAGGAAAATAAGAAGTGTAGTATACTTCATTTTCTTTGCACACTGCAAGATATTACAAAGGCGAATAATGGCGTCTTCAGCGGACTTCCGAGGAGTAAATCCGAACTGAGAATCATTATAAAAGCATTTTTGTCTCAAATACCAATTTATTCTGTTAATGAAGAGAGTTTCAAGACATTTTCACAAAGTAGGCAAAAGACTAATGCATCTAATATTATCAAGATAAGGGGTTCTTGTATCTAACGTTTTAGGAATCAAAACAGCCCGAGCTCTCTTCCATAGTGCTGGAAAAACTGCTAATTGTAAACAAAGGTTGAAAAGTCTGTGTAGAAATGTGCTATCCACCGCATGAAAGTGCTGTACTATTTCATTAGAAAGAGAGTCAAGCCCAGATGATTTGTTCTTCTTGAGATTTTTAATAACACTGTTAACTTCTGAAGTAGAGAACGGACAGTCCATAAAAGAAATATAAGGTCTATCAGACTCAGTGCGCATAGTTCTATGAGAATTTCTATCATCACGCATATTATCTCTTGGGAAATTCTTTGTCATTATAGCAACAATTGTATCACTCAAACTCGAAGTAACACTGCCATCCGGGAGTTTAATTCCCGAAATCTCAATCCTTTTCGCAAAATTGGTCTTAATCCCATATTTATACATAGATTTCCAGACATTGTGAACAGTAATAGTTGAGAAAAAATTTCTCCACGACTCAAGCTTAGCATTAGCTAATTTAGCCTTGTACTTATGCCGCAATTCGAAATATTTAATTTTATAAATATTTTTAAGAAGACAGTTTCTTTCTCTCTGGAATCTACGCCTAGCAGCATTTACATGCTTTCTATAACAATCAATTTCCTTAGACTACCAAGGGACCCCATTCTTCTTACTTTTCTTCATCGGAATTGAAAGTAAAGCACAATTAAAAAACAACGGTAGAAAGTCTGTTTACAACATTTTCAATCATACAATCAGAACAACTGTCAAGAAGGATATTCAAGTCACACAATTCTCTCTTACAAAGTTCAGTAAATAAAAACCAGTTCGCTCTTTTTAAATTAAAAGTACACAAATTAGAAGATATAATCGGATGGCATAAAACAAGTTCAAAGATTATCATTTTATGGTCAGAAAGAGAATCTTCCTCAGAGATATCCCAACCTTGAACGTATGGCAGCAGTCCTAAGCTACAAAGGGTAAGGTCAATATAACTCGAGCCTTGCGTGGAACAGAAAGTAGGCCCGCGATTTTCATTAAGTAGAAACAAATGATTCGCACTAATAAAATCACTAAGTTTCGTTCCTCTAGCATCAGTAATAGGACTATGCCAAATCGCTGATTTGCTATTCGAATCCATACCACATAAAAAATTGCATGGTTTCTTCATCGTTAAAATTTGTAAAATTTTTAATAGTTCTAATTTTTAATAGTTTTTAATAGTTATTTTTAATAGTGTGAAGGTTTGGTAAAGAAATCTCAAAAATATGGACTACAGCATTAGAAAGCACAGCGCTTTGGTCGACCTACTGATGTTGATGAGGATCGTCTGCGAGACTTGCGGAAGAACATCAGTATGCAACCACTCGACAACTTGCTAAGGAGTTAGACGTTAGTGCCATGTCCATTAGTTGCGTTATGCATCGCATAAACTTGAGGTACAAGTGCAATTGCTAGATGCCGCATGAGCTGACTCAAGCAGATGATGACAGACGTGTTCGTGCCTGCACTATTCCACTCGAACATCAACGCAAGGACAACATTCTAGAATGGATCGTCACTTGTAATGAAACGTGGATTTACTTCAACAACACAGGCCGAAAATGAGGCTAATCTGCACACATTGGGCCCGACTAACAAAAGTAAACATTGACTAACTAAACACTAACTAAACACTGACTAACAAAAAGATCATTCCTTATATCTGGTGGGGTTGCCGTGGTTATTATCCATAAAGATTATCTGGGGAAAAGGTAAAACCCTCGGTAGTAAGGTGTACAACGAGATGCTAGACCGTGTTTACTCTCCTATCAAGGAAAAGCGTCGAACTGATTTCCGACCCAAAAAGGTAAGGTTCCATCAAGATAATGCAGGACCACATGTGTCTGCATTGAGCGGCTGGACTCTGTATAGCTCTGTAGGGTCTCGAATGGGATCTTTTGCCACACACACCATATAGACCCGACGTAGCGCCTTTGGACGTATACCTTTTTTCACAACTGCAGCTATATCTTGCGGATGCTATCTTCCATTCTGCACAGGACTTCCGAAACGAGGTTGATCTGTTTTTGGACTCGCGGCCACCAAGTTTCTGGACCAAAGGCTTTGAAAAACTACCAAAATGTTGCCAGAAAATCATAGATTTTTGGGTGGTGGTTACTACTTGCACTAAAGGTATTGCTTTCATGTTTTTTCCCTCACTTTATTAAGAACTTGTTTTGGCGGAAAACTTTCTCTAGAACCAGATAATAAATAACACAGTTCAAAAATAAAGAAAATTAACTGAGTTTTATTCCAGAAATAAAATATGCAATTAAAACGTACTGTTAGCTATGTTGTATTTTATTTCATTATTATGGTATCAGCAATAAACAAATAATAAAAACACTTTACCAAAAAAATCAAAGACTAATTTGTATAGCAAAACCAGGCTATCTTAGAAATTAAGAATACATTTGAGTTGGTAAAAATTAGTCAAGAAAAGAAATTTCATGTAATCTCACATTTCATAAAAATAAACGTGCTACGTTTAAAATAATAATTAAGGCAGTTTCATTACTCACAGCATGTAGAAGTTTTTCCTCCAAACTTTCATTAATTTTTTGTAATCGTCTCTGATTCTCATACAACCTAAATATGAAAAAAGAAAAATCCTTCAAGTGTTAAATAAGAAAAAAAAAATAATATATTTGTATGCTATATAGGAACTTTTACATAAAAATCATTTTCGTTCATTTTATCGATGACCAATCAAAGTCCTTACGATTATTAAGCTATAGAATTTTTTTTAAAAAGGCATGAATATAATGAACAAATAATTAAAAGTAAATAAGTATTAAAATTTCAATTAATATTGTGAATTTATTTTCGTCGAAGCAGGATACATTCCATTGAAAATAGTTCGTTACTGAATTTCTGTTTATTCTAACTAGAAGAATTTGCAGCAATGCTGTCTTATAACCGTAACTAGCTCAATATATAACTGATAAATTAATATGTTAGGCAAACATTTAAAGAAATGTCAAAACTTATTTCACTGTATTCATCTATGAATCGAACATTTGCAGTATCATTTATCACAACAGAAGTCTCAACTGTAACTAGCCTTGAACAAATGCTTTAATTTATCATATAGTATTAATTCGTTATATAGTTTAGCAGATAATACAGTGTTTGAGCACATGTGATTTATAGTTTTTGTTATTTAATATGCTGTTTATATATACTATTATTTAATATGCTGTTAGCCACAAAAGTCTGCGTACAGACTAAATTTTAAATTAAAAAAAAAAACACTTAAAGCATAGAAAATGTATTTTAATCATTGTAATTTTTTTTTATTAGCTAAAATTGTAAGCTTAAATAAAAAGTAAATAATATCAGTGTTATACTTTTTACATTTTTCAAAAATATATTTTGTCAAAAAAACTCAGAAATTCTCTCCAATAAGTCTGCGTACACTTTAAAAAAAAGTTTTTTACATTACTTCAATACTTTGTAGGATATCCTTTATTCGTCAAAACAGCTTGCAGACGTCTGGGTATTGATTGAACTAGTTTTTCAGTGTCATCCGACGTAAATTTCACCCATTCTTTCTGCAATTTACTAATTAGCTCATTTCGCGACGTAATATTGTGTTTTCGAATTCGTTTCTCCAATTTTGCCCACAAATGTTCGATTGGATTGAGGTCTGGTGACTGTGGAGGAGTACGCAACTGTCTTGGAGTGTGACAGAGGAGATATTTCTTCACAATTTTAGCTGTATGTTTCGGGTCGTTGTCTTGCTGGAAAATAAAGGTATTAGAAAGGTTTAAATTTCAGGCACTGTCTCGTAGATGTTTCTTCAGAATATCCAGATAAACATACTTATCCATGACTTCAATAATGTGAAAATTTCCATCTCCTTTCGACGACATACACCCCCATACCATCACGCCGCCAACTCCATGTTTGACAGTTGGATTTAAATTTCTCAGACTCAGTTCTATTCCTGGTTTTCTCCATACAATAGGGTGGTCATTAACTCTAAATATTGTAAATTTACTTTCATCTGACCAAATTACATTGTTCCAGAAGTCCTGCGAAGAGTTTAAATATGTTTTGGCAAAAGCAATTCTTTTCTTTCTATTTGTCTCGGAAATGTATGGCTTAGACCTAGGTTTGCGTCCATGATAATCGGCCTTTCGCAGCACTTTTCGTACAGTTTCAGGAAAAATTTCCTTGTTGCTAGTTAAAAAAATGTCTTTTGCAATGCTTTCAGCAGAAAGTTTAGGATTTTGTTTAATTCGTAAAAGAATTTTCTTTCTTCTCTCTGCGTTAGCTTCTTCGGTCTCCCACATCTTGGTTTTACAGCAAGACTACCAGTATCAAGATAGTTTTGAATAACTCTTTGCACACTAGAAAATGGTTTTCCAATGGTTTTACCAATATAACAAAGAGTTTTACCTTCATCTCTCAATTTGATAATTAGTTGTCTCGTAACTAAAGGAATTTCTTTATTGGTTGTCATTTTCGTCAAAGAAAGTAAAAATAACAACTTCCAATCAACGTGAAATTTGCTTCGGAAGTCAATGACCTTGAAAGTGTAACCATCTTTGCATTCTCAAGTTTGAAGTTTGAAGTTAGATAAGAAATCCCCCGCCTCCTTCGCGTTGTACGCAAACTTTACTGGCTTTGATTTCTGGCCACTTATCTTTTAAAAATTTAGTGTGCATAAATTATTAGATATGGAAATATTACAGTTAAATAATTTCAAAGTCCCTTATTGAAACTAAATATTTAAAAAATAAAACTTTAAGAAACTACCCTTTTCGCACCTTAAAATTTGGATTTGATATTACTTTTCTTGATGTACGCAGACTTTATTGACTAACTGTATATCTATGTATGCAAATGAATGTTTCTTTGTCTTTTATACAAATCTGCAGCTAAATCCGATCTTTCTTGCGACACTCGACCTTAAAAACAAGAGGAAGCTCACTCTCTACATAAGATTTCTCAAAAACCAGCCCACGGGGTGCGCACTCTTAATATACATATAGTATTTTACCCTAATTTAACGAACGTTTCATTAAAAACTCAGCGATTTAAAAGCTTTACGTTCCTTTCTGCAAAGCGTAAGATACATGGATGTTTCAAATTTAATCAGAAAACTCGGCGATAAAAAAAATTGTGTTGCCACTCGAGAAAAACGCAGTTATATTAATTTGTCTCGAATTCAATAAACAAACTCGGCTATTTAAGAGAAATTAGTTGCTACTGCCTATATTAAATTTAAAGTGTGTTATCGTTCAGCAAAGCATAAAATATTTAATTTTCCGCGCATTATCACGCATGCATTAATATGCGTGTTATTACATGCTTTTTGAAGTGAATTTGTAATAGTCATCATAAAGCATTGTTTTCGCAGTGAAATCAATTGTCAACAAAATGAAAATCGGTGGCTCGATCTACACCTCAAGCATAAAAGTAAAGGCATCATGAGCTTCAGAAACAAACGAGCAATGGGAAAGCAAGACTGGGAAACGTTTCGAGTACGCACTGCTCAAGCCCATTCGTCTGAAACAGACGAGCAACGGGAAGCGAGACGGGAAAACGTTCGAGTACGCATTGCTTGATACATTGATTGGTTCATTCCATTACGATGGTAATTATGATTAATCTCCATTCAAGTGTGATCGTTGGAAAGGTGGATAAATTATGAATGTATTGCAAAGCCCTTAAATTTAAGAACGAAGCTGTGCAGCCCTGATGGAAAAAGGAAATTACCAGACTTAAGTTCACCACCCGAACCATTATCAACCTCCGTATCAGGTGACACAAGCCAATTAAAACATGCAAGCAAAATAAACTTGAAGGAAAAACTCCATAACAGAATTAAATAAGAACACTTTACTTTCAAGTAGCATTACAAAGCATGTCGGGTAACAGCTAATTTTTACATAAAAAAATACGGGAGTATTTAATGATTGCGTTTTTTATAGATTTTGCTAATTCACTAATACTTCTGAAATGGTAAAATCTGCAGCTGAAAAATTATTAACATTTTTCTGTTTCTAAACGAAGTTAATATGGTAAAGGTGTTTATATTTGACTAGAGCGCCCGGCGGTCATACGAAATGACCGTTGTTTTAGATATTATAAATTGTAATTAAAATGATTTGTGCAAAGGTGTCTGCTAATTTAAACTGAATTACCCAGGACAGGCGGCGAGGACAACCTTTGCTTACTACCCCACGGGGTTTCCCCTTCAACTTGCTTAATTGCTTAAAGTAGAGTGCAATGAGAAACCACTGGCGGTACATTTCTTAAGAGCCACCGCTAGCTCAATCAATAAAGGTGATTTAAATAATGAAATTTTAATTCACATCTCAAAGATCTCTTTGTACACAACATTTCTTGAGTATATCTTTTCATCATTCTTAAGCTCGCCTTACAGAGGACCATCCATTATTTTTAATTTTACGTCCGTTCTTTCACGAACTCTTGAAGAGGCAACATAAAGTTGACCGTGTTCAAGTTCAAGTAAAAAAATGCCAACACGCTTAAACGTTTGGCCCTGAGACTTATGGATGGTCATAGCAAAGGCAAGTTTTACAGGAATTTTGTCTATGTCTCAATTGAAACGGCTACTCCGTGCCGTGGCAACTTCACCCCATTGGCTAGTACAGTTACGCAAGCAACCAATAAACTATCGGCGACAAAGAGACACTTAAGCCACATATACATATGGGGTGACGTTACATCATCTCCTCAGAAACGGCTGGCTCCCAGGCTTAGCGAAGCACACCGTTGGATTCCGCAGGTCCGTGGCACGCCATTTTGACCATTCGCGTCTTCTTGGGACTTTAATTAGCCGAGATATTAATTAAAAACTAATTTTTCCCTACGTTTTCCCTATATTTTCCACTTTCTTTCTTGTGTTTTCATTATTAGAGGGATTTGGCTACGTGCCAAATTCTTTTTTCTCGAATATCTACGGAACGGCGCCGAATTGAAATTCGAGACGCGTATCCTCGGATTCCAAAAAATTCTCCGAATCCATCGATACCGTTCTCATCTTCGTATGACTAATCGGCTGAGATATTAATTAAAAACTGCGGAAAAGTTAATTTCCGCGCTCATTTTTCCGAGTAGCAACAATAAACTATCGGCGACACACACTTTAGCCGCTTATATATATATAAAAATTTCAGTCTTTGTCCTTATTTATTGCAAATGCTTCTAAATTTGTAAAACTAAAACTAAACTACTAAAAGAAACAAAGGAAAGCTAAACTATTACTAACGTTTATCGCAAATACTACCTTTTAACTACGGCTGATCAGTAAGGGCGATAAAATACAATTTTAACTAATGTTTCTAGTTAAGGAAACATTTGTTTTCTAGGACTTGTACCATTGAACTTGTTTTCATTGAAAAACGATATTGTTGCCAAAATACCGTGAAAAAAATCTGGTGCCAAAATACCAGACTTTATTTCAATTCTATGAGTGCTCAATAATTATATTCTCTATCAAGCTCTCCATAACTCTTTTTTTAAAGTAACATTCGGAAAATTTAAAGCAAGTAACTTCGCTTCAGATCTGATTTGTATATTTAAATATTCATCATCGATAACTTTTTGAACTCATCAGCGATCAAGTGGTACACCTGAATATTGTTATAACCAATAGGAATAATATCTGGCATTATCAATCTGAAGGGGCTTTCTCCTTGTATATTGTTTATACCAGCCTGTTTTCCTTACAATCATTCAAGATTCGTCAAAGAGCTCTTATCAGATTTTAATTAAAATCAACCAACTACTAAACTCTTAATATCCGATCTTTAAAATTTATTCCTTTAGAAAACTGGTCAAATAACCTAAAACAGGAGCAAACATATCTTAAAATGTTTTCCTTTCTGAAACTTCTCTTATGTAAATTCAGTTTAGCAGAGCTCCCATTTTCTATGTTTCTAGAGGCATATGTTTTCTAGAGGCATATGTTTTCTAGAGGCCATATGTTTTCTAGAGGCAGGTCCAACCGATAATAATCTAAAACCTGGCCATCATCGACTGGAGGTATCTTTCCAACTGGCATATTTTTAACATATTTAGATTTCATAAAATTTATTAGTCTTTTTTTTTTTTTTTTTTTTTTTTTTTTCTTTTCATTTTATCCTTTACTGGTTGTCTACCGGCAGCCCAACAGCTGAGTCGTGAACACTCGTAATTTCAGCATGGGTTCGATTCCAAACGGGCTGGATACATGGGCATTTCCGTGGTTTTCCGCATGTGTAATTTGTATATGAGCCAGTTTTCCTTAGAAATCCTCCACGAAAGCATCCTTTCCCTTAGGTAATCCTCGTGTATTTTGCCATAATTAAATAAAATGAAATCAAACCTTACCTTTATTGATGAAGTTAAAAAGTGAAGGTAATATTCCTTACCTTTGTTATCTAAATTTATATTAACTATTGCTGGTAAAGATAGAATGCTAAGCTTTAATTATATATATAAGAAATATTGTGGTGCACTTTAAACAGACTTAGCTTATTCTGCTTTTGAGATGAGATCTTCCTCTATACTTGAGATGAGGTATAAATTCGTATATTTAACTTGCATGATTTATTCTTATTATGTGGACGAAAAAGTATTAGATCCGATGGCCAACATTCTAGGCTACTAAAAACGTATATAAGATGTAGATCTAGTACAAAAGTACTGGTGGTGGTCGCCTTGAGGAGCATTTATTTCAATCATTCTAATCTATAATCTTAAAAATAAGAACAGCTTTATAAGGATGTTTTCTTTTTCTTTCGTGTTGTAAGTGGTAGTATGTCGATCCAGCACTGGAAGATCCAGAGTTTGAATCCTGGTGAAATCTTTGCTGATTTTTGTACTTTCTGTTTCGAAATCTCTTACAGACGGCAGTCTTATTAGAGACATTCAGGTGACAAGTTAGCGCAATGTTCATGAATTTGCAGGATAAGTTTCGAAGGTTTAAATACAGAACCTTCTTCGTCAGCTGAAGAAATGCAAAAGACGAAAGAGAAGCTTGCGCTCCGCGTATACTAAGAGGAAGAAAGTGAAGCTACTGCGGTCATCTTATGATGAAAAATGAAAAACTATGAAATAATTTCCTTATAAGCTGACGGTAAAGACTGATTGGAATTGATATCGTTAACTAGAATTCAAAGATTTTTATGTTTGCTAAATACCTCTAGAAAATCTAATTCACCAACGGAAGATTTTTGGCTGCAGAAAAATGAAAAATGTGATTGAGTGTGTTGAGCAATAGTGGATTTATGTGTTTCCTTTTTTTCTAAAATATGCCTCATGTTCTTTTGCACGAGATTTTAAGTCTCTCCTGGTTTGAAAAATGTAAATTGACCCCCACTGGAAAAGAATACTGTACATACTCCTAAAGTTCATATCCAGAATGGGGTCTTTAAGTATAGAACTGTGAATGTTTTATTGACAGAAGAGAAAACGACCCAAAAGTTGAATTTCTGGAAATGTTATAGCTAATGGATGGCAAGAAAGGAATGATACCAAAATTCTTATAACTTCCTAAAACGAGGTAGCGCTTTTTTATGTTTTGAGATGAAAATTTTTTAACCGCCTGGTGAATATTAAGTAGTTTAGTTTTTAATCAAGAGCAGATTTAGAGAAGCAAACATAAAGTGATCAGAAAAATAAGAAATAGCTAGCTTTTGCCAAAAGCTAGCTAAACAAAGCTAGCTTTTGGTTAGTCTAATGACACTGTTACTCCCATCCTTTAGGATACAGCGATAATATCGTTTTTATACCTTAAAATGCACGAAATAAAAGTTTCCCGTTTCTAAGTTTGATGATTTAGGAATGGATGACAATAAAAAAGGCCTGATATCTAAATTTGTATATTATGGAAAGTCTTACACTGCAAACATAATAGAAATGTCTACCCATTTTTTAAAAGAGATGAGTTCACATGCTGACATATAGTTTAGGAATACGGAAAAAATATTTCAGCAACGACTTCCTTCATACCTTATCTGCTGGCTTGTTTACAATATGGGAAAAGGAAACAAGGGTTATTTGTTAAAGTGAAAGGATGCTTTCATGGAAAACTTTCATGGAAATTGACTCGTATTTAGAATTTTCTACGTAATTGCGTTCTAAATCGAAAGAGAGTATGAGGTATTTTTTACTGTAAAATGCATTTTTATATTTTTTACTTTTTCTCGGGAAAAGTCAGATTTGAAGTAGAAGATCACGGTTTCATTGAAATGACGCCATTATCGAAGATCTGTTTTAGTGGCGTCGTTGTTTAATTTAACATACAAACGTCTTTTCGATAACAGAAGTATTGTTTCGTGCCAACTTATGAAAAGCTTTCTTTTGTTATAGGAAGTTTTCACTTTCTTTCCACTATACTAAATTATTAAATCCAGAGTCTAGAACTCATCCCTTGTACCATGTAAGGCAAGATTTAGCGTTCTTAAGTTCTGATTCAAATTAATTTTTATAATTAGTCCAAAGGGGTTTTGTTCGTGAGGGACTATAGTTTTCGTTTTGCGATTTTGAGTCGAATCAATCTGATTGTCCGTTTCATTTTTCAAACTGTTGCCACCAAATATTATTGCCCTGTATTATACTGAAAGAAATTAAATAATGAAGAATCCCCATAAATGTATGTATGTTTCTCGCACTGTGATGAAACAACGGTACCTAGAGTCATCCAATTTTGAATGACGTAATCCTGTTGCGAATATGGTGATCTGGAAGCCCAAATTCAAAATTTAGAATTTGTTTTATTATCGATTTCATATTTTGTAAAACTTTAACGAATTTTTAATTAACAAACTCAAGGTTTTCAAAGCGAGCAATGGCAACGTTGTACAGAAATATTATTATTTTTGTCTCCAGCGGACTGCGTATCGGAAATTCTAAAGATATGCTTAATTTAAAATTATTTTGCGATATTGCTCTTGAACTGAATTTTATGGTTTAAGGCAAAGAACATGATATTTAATAAATAAAAGTAGCACACAAAATGTTAGAAAAACGCTTCTTTGGACGTAATTTAAAAATCTGAAAACTTTCAAATTTTCTTTTGCTGTTTTAACTAAGATTTTTTAAACTTTAAAGTAGCAGTTAAATTTTAATGGAAAATAATCTTTTCTGAATGTGAAAAACTGAAGTCACTAATAAATATAGAGACGTACTACTGGATATCCTATCCGCGGTAGTCTTCTTTTGATAAATGCATGTTATAATTTTTATTTCCAAGAAATAAGAATATTTTTTACAGATTGGTAATTTTTCTGGGGGAAGAGAGGGGTATTTAAGCTTTATTTTAACTGGAAGTTAATAAACTGAGCCTTACCTGTCATATTTCTCTTTCCAGAAACAGGCAGCTTCTCGAAAGGATTCCCATTCCCTTGCAGTCATCGGGTGGGGTCTACCAAATGGTTCCATGGGGTGATGCCTGCAGGTTTCAATCGCATACCCCTTCAAGAGTGGGCACCTCATAGGAGCGCTGTAGATTATGAAAAATTAAGATTCTGTGTCATAAAATCTTTATGAACTGCGCATTATACATAAATAAACTAAAACCTCGGCAGTCTTAGAGAATATAAAATCAATCATGTCTGCATTTTGCTAGAATATTATTCTAATATTACACTAGCTTGTAGAATGAAATGAACATACCTATCAAAATCAAACAAAAAACAGACTAACAATAAAAAATAGACTTTACTTTTTAATAATTTTACTCATAATTCGCAATTATGCTATGTAAAGATACCTTTTCTGAAATATATTCCTTACTTGTAAAACTGGTTATTCAGCAAAATATGTATTTCGAAGCAATGAACTCACACATTTGCAATCCTCATAACTAGGTTTATTTAAGCACGAATTGCGGCACGGTGTACCCAGTCTGGGCATACCTAAAAATTCTCTCTGTACACACAGAAAAATTGTATAAAATGGGATTTATAGGTTAGTATAGTTTACTTTGAACATTTTTTTATTTATGGTATTCTTGTATGTATATTGTATGTATAATATTATTCTAGATGGCAGCACAATACAAGCCAGTCCATTTTTTTTTTGTCTAAGAGTGTATAGCAAAGACATTCGACGTATAATCTTAATCAAAGAGATTAGAATAAATGGAGTAAGCCTGTTCCGTGCAATGAAACATCACGACTTATAATGGCCGCTGTCAGGCGGACTTCTGGTTGATTTTTTTCACAATCTAATCGGCGTTGCCTACATGCTAGCTATTCTTTACTGAACGTTTATAAGCCTCTCGCTCTAATTTGCTTTCAAATTCGGTGTAATTTTATTTAACAGTATGTTTCGCAGTTTATCCGTACACTGTATGACAGCCATCATAAGTCTGGACGTCAATTTGTTGGCATTTCCTTAGCTTCACTTTTGTGACGTCAGGCTTACTCCATCTATTCTAATCTCCTTGGTATTAACTTGAACTCAGAATATTCATTGTTGCCAAAACTTTTAAAATTATTTTCATAAATAACTTTATGATTTTCTTTTAAGATCAAAATCATTTTAATATTCATTAAAACACGAAATAGAATTACGAATATTTCGCAGAAACTCATCCGTTTACATTCAAGAAACGCATGTAAATGACATAAAATTATGTTATTGCTTTAAGTGTATATAGAAAGCAAGAAATGTTTTATTAGCCTTTAAAATGTTATCGAAATCATTATTTCTGATTTGTGATCATTCAAAGGCTATTTTGAAATAAATTTGTAGAACAAATGGGCAAAAGCTAAAAGTTATTGTTTTGGAATAGCTCTCAAGATAAATAATACTTAAAGCAATAAAACGAAATATTTGATTGAATTTCTACTTTTCCATAAAGGATGAGAAAAACGCTTCTATTTTTATAACACATAGGATAATACATAATACGTCCATTATGGAGGCCTTTCCCAAAATAAATCGAACATTATAGCGTTCTTTACGATAACACTGTTGTTATAAACAGCATCGACGGCAAGAGCTGTATTCTTGTTTCTGGCATCGACGTCAATCCAGCGCCACTAAATCGATTCTTAATACCTCAGTGTATTACTAGTAGTCTATTGTTAATGTTATCAGTAGGCAACATTCAGAAACGCTCCTTCAGTGGACTTTTCCAGCAGAGTTAAATCGTTGTTCTTCAATGTGTGTTCAGAAGATTAAATATATAGATGGACATATGGCATACATCTTATATTTCCATTTTTGGAAAGCAGTTTTATGTTAAACATTTCACATTTATCTTTTGCTAACAATGAAAAATATACAGGATTTTTTTGGAACTGCCTTCATAGTTATAAAAAGATCTTTAACTGATTTAGAGCTAATTCATGATCTAGTAAACACGATAGTATGTATGTAGTACGTACACTATAGTACATTCTGCGCGAAAAAGAATAGGACAGTTCTATATCTCTGGTTCTACTGGGCTGACTGACAAAATTTAACTTGCGTTTTTCATGTCTCGAAAGCTCGAATTAGTACATATATTCGATTTATATTCTAATGTAGTGTATTCATTGTTTTAACGTAGGTATTTTAACACAAAGAATTTTTTATGAATTGGTGCACCTTTTTGACTTCATCTTGCGATTCTAAGATTCAGAATATGCCTAAATATTAAATTTTGTCAAATTTGGTGAGACACTTCACGAGAAATTCAAAAATTTAGCTTGGTCAACTTTTTTCCGTTTGCGTGAATAATTCGCTTGGCGAAATTCTTAATTTATGGTAATCGACTTTCCCTTTTATTGTGCACGAGCGGGGAAAAAAGGTGAATTATTCATTCTTTCAATTAATTTTCTTCATATTACATTTTTTAACCTTAATTATTATTTTTAGATCCGTAAACCACGTTTGGAGCTATTTTTGCTTAAAACAAAGATGCCAATTTCAAAACGCGACCACACGTAAATTCACGTATATCTTAAATGTTTGAATAAAACGTTTGAATGAAAGTTTGAACAAAAAGCTCTAATTTTTTGCAAATATGCTTAAAAATACATCTACTTTAAGAAGATGGTAAATATTTTACAGTTCATAGTCAAAAACTTTTTTTAAAAATTATAAAACTTAAAATTTTTATGAATACTGATTTTATTTAGATTGAGCATAAATTTCGAATAGTGATATCAAGTTTAATTAAAAAAGGGATATTAATAAATATATAACAATTTCAGTTAACATTAAAGAGCTAAAATTTTTGGAGCTTATTTTTTAAAAACTGCTCATGTGATTTTTACGAAACTTGGCACTTTGGCATAATTTGAGTCGTAGAATCGAAATACGGAAAAAAATCGGTATGTCATTTCAGAAAAAGGCCAGAATTTACCTCAAAATACCTATGTTAGAGCAATGCTAATATATATCTCAAGTCATGCTTTCAAGACATGAAAAATGCAATTTAAATTTCGCCAATCGGCCTAATAGAACGGGAGATACAGAATTGTCCCCTCTCCCCTTTCCTTGTGTAGACTGTACATACAATAGTTTTACACAATAAGTTTTTTTACTGTAAAAAGTTGTACAGTTCTGAAAAGGGTATAAACTATTAATTCAAGAATATCTTGCTTCTTTGAAAATGAGGAGTAATACATTTTGTAAAAAATTTTGTGTATATATTTATTTTAACTGCTTTTAGTTTTTGTTACTCAAATAGTCAAGAAAGAAGAACGTGTGTTCAGAACTCCTTAATTGTTCTTGTTTAATGTTTTAAACTCTTATCCCCTGACGATTCTTACTAAATTTTAAAACTTCATAATATACATAAACTTGTTTCATTATTCAAAAAGATTTCATTTCATCTAACATTTAAAGTTTGTATAATGCTACTGCTAGGAAGTAAATATGGGTACACCAGCGGCCGGGCGGTAAAATCGCTGAACACTGGTAGTTCTGTCCGAGGTTCGAATTCCGCAAACGGGTTGGCTGCATGGGCGTTTTCGTGGGTTTCCCCATGTGTAATGTGTATACGAGCCAATTTCGCTTAGAAAGTCTTCCAAGAAGGCATCCTTTCCCTTAGGCAGATAGCCATTGAGGCTTTGCCATAATCACATAAAACAAACCGAAGAAGTAAATATGTACGAAATTATCTCATCCCCCTTACGTGCTTTTGTAGTGCAAGTGGTTAACACATCCAGCTCGCTGGAGTTCAGAGCTGGAATACATTCTGCAGTACATGAGTGTTATCTCACTAATTGGTGAACACATTCCTAGAGTATTTTCTAAAGAAATCCAAACATTCAGTCAAATTCTTCGTCTCTTTAAGATATTTGCGAAACCTATTGAGGTCACAGAAGGTACTCAAATTTGCGATCATGCAAACTATAATATGTGTTTTACATCATATGCGAAGACAACACGTATATTCTGCGAAATTCCGGGCGTGTTTTGGATTTTCGAAGCAGCTACGGGAATGCGTGCTATGAGGTCCTCATCACTTTCAAAGAGGAGTGTTGGGGGGGGGAGTTCAATGTAGTATGTTACTTTAAAATGGGCATTTAAAAGCTTTAACTCTCCATCCTTATTTATGACCGTAATGTGCTCGTCGTCATTACACGATTAGCAAAGGATGTTAGGGCACGATGTTAGGGGATTTTAGCAAATTAGAGGGTTTGACCTATCTTCTGCAGCAGTCGTTACCACGGTTTAAAGGCGCTGGGATTGCTTTAAGTGACTATTCTAAAGTAACAGACTATTATCAAAGAATGGTAAATCTGAGGATCTTCCAGTAGAGCTGTTTACAAATGATGGTGACTTGAAAGAACACATAAGCAGTTTCGCGGTCGAACAACGTCATCTGTCTGCAATGAAGATTCAAATTTTGCCCCTGCATGCTACAGCCTTGCGATTTGTTTCTATGCGACATACCTCTTCAAAAGTTCCTACACGCTCAGCTGTACAGTATATATTCGACAAATCGATCACTAGTGTTTAATCTACAGCTCCCTGAGTGCTCCACTTTTCTCTTATGCAAACTAAGAATATGCTTATTTAGAAACAGTTCGCCGCCCAGTCGCTATATTGGTTAGAGCAGCCTGACTGCGATACCAAAGGACACGAGTTTGAATCCCGGAGAAGGCAGGACAGGACAGGAAAAAGGGTAGGGGGCACCACAACATCGTCATAGATAAAAATGGTATTGCCCCACTGCACTAACCTTTTCTGGCACTTATTGAGTATAAAGACAAAAGATTACATATCAGGTCATTACATTACACTGTTGACATAATAAATTACATTAAAGTAACAAGTTTATTTAGATAAGAAGAACAAACATACAGATAAATTGGGGGTACAGGTAATCGAGGTACAGATATATTGGTATACAGGAATCAAGATGCAGATAACATGTTACAATTAATTAGGCGTTGCAGTTTGACATTTGTCGGTGTGCATGGAGGAATACATTAGCATCTGGGAAGATGGGTGCGATGTGAGTTATAATGCTATATTATTTTTGTGTTGGGTGGTATC